ACCGGACAATCCAGTGATTTACATCATGAACATCGATCCACGCCATTGGGATCGATGACATGCATCAACCAAGTCAGCGAGCCTGACCACCCGATCTCGTTAGTCGCCTTTTACGGCAAGCATGGGTTGCTGAAGACCTATTCTACCCCGGATCTACACGGGTATATTGAGCAATGGTCAACTGAATTTGGCACTTCAATGTCATCTCTGTCCCCCAACTAATAGTTCCCTTTCCACCTCATAACCCCAAGTCCCCAATCTTTTTCGCCCTACCCTTTTCCCCGTGCTCAGCTATAGTTCCTTTCCCCTCTCATACCCCCGTCCCCACTGCCTTTACTTGTCCTCCAAATATCCTCCCTTCCTCTCACATCTCCATTTTCAACATTTCCCCCTACCGCTGCCTTCATCCTACTCCTATAGTTACCTCCTGTTCTCATACCCCCATGTCCCTATGATTTTACCACAGTCGTAAATTACATACGGTATACCACACTGTCTCATACCCACATATTGCCCTTGTTATATGGCAGCGTATTTTATTGTTTGGCAGTAATTGTAACGTCGGTACCCGCTCATTGCATTATGTTTGGACAGTGATCAGTCGTCAGGAAGTTATTATATTTAGATGCTAGTGTGGTGGGTAATCTTCCAGTCCGGTACGGACGGTGATAGTATGTTATAGAGACTTCTGTTATGTTCTAGTGCTGCTAGACTGGTGAGGGCACTGTGTAGGACTTTCCAGTAGCTAGGTTGGTAGTAAATAAAGAGACAAGAGCGTGTTTACGCATCTCTCACACAGTTCATCACATTAAGACCAGTGTTCTTGTGAGGATCGCTCATGATCCCTAATTCCCTGCCTAGCACATCAAAGAAGTTTGACCACTGTTGCCGCTTGGTGAATATATATGTTATTATCACTGACTTTTGCTATCACCACTGTATTTTGGTATTTGATACTGACCACTGTCATCATTTTATACTTTGCCATTGAATATTGTATTACTACTGTATACCTTAGCCCTGCCACTGCAGTTCTCTTCCCCTATCATAGACCCATGCCCCACAATTCCCTTTGCCCCTACCTTCGTCCTGCGACTGTAGCTAACTTCCCCTCCCATCGCCCCATGTTTCCAAATTCTCCTTGCACCTACGAGCTTTGTCCTACCAAAACAGTTCTCTTCCCCTCTCATAGCCCCATGTCCCCCAATTCCCACTGTCCCTACCTTCGTCCTACCAATGTAGTTAACTTCCCCTCTCATCGCCCCATGGTTCCCAATTCCCCTTCCCTACCTTCGTCCTACCACAACAGTTCTCTTCCCCTCTCATAGCCCCATGTTCCCCAATTCCCATTGCCCCTACCTTCATCCTACCTCTGTATTTAACTTCCCTTCTCATAGCCCTATGTCCCCCAATTCTCCTTGCCCCTACCTTCAACCCCACCCCAACCACCCCTCAAATGTCCTTGCCTCTCATACTACCATGCATTTATCTCCGTCCTCTAGCATTCTTACTTCCTCCCTCATCTCTACAAGTGCCCCTCCCCACACAACCCATCATACCCCTACCGCTACCTCAATCTTCCTGCTATAGTCGTTCCCCTGGCCTCTTAAACTAAATGAAAATGTGTCGAACCATAATATTCTTTGATTTGTTCATTGCAGTAATCTAAACAATTTGGTTACCTTTAAATTGATAAAAAAGCGTATTCTTCAATTGTGGTATTACTTTAAAAACCCAGAACCCCCAGAGAGCGTATATTTTGGTATATATAAGATATGTTGCTTTACAATGAGGTTAAACATTCAGATTAAATGTTGGCAAGGAGATTAAGAATGGAGTTACTTTCTTCTTGAGACTATTATCATATCACTTTGTGTTGACGGTACCGACCGATTATTTGTATGATTTAGGTACCACCATCTGCACTCAACGATGTTGCCAAACATAAACTGACGGCCAAAGGAAACGTTACCAACGATATTTCTAGGATAAAATATGACCAACACAATTTTGAAGCAGCATTAACAATTGTATTGTAGAAATTCATCATTCAGAACAGTAAAATGCGAATTTACTAATTTAACAACAAAGTCCTTGACCTCCAATGGGGACAATTCTTGACAAGGGGTCACTGTCCAGTATTCGATCAACAACATTGGTTACAACTTTAGGATGACGACGGCCCAGACCGTTCAATACGGGATATGACCTCCAGCGGCAATGCATCTTCGAATGCGGCGTCGAACTGAGTAGACAAGCGTCCTCACATCGACCGCAGGTATCCGATTCCATTTGTCACGGAGGGCAACGATAAACGCTTGTCTCGTGATGGGAGGATGTTGACGTTTCCGAAGACGACGCCCCAGATGGTCCCAGAGATGTTCTATGGGTGACAGATCTGGTGATCGAGCTTGCCACGGCAGGACAGTCACATTGTTGGCGTTGAGGAAGTCTCTAGTAATACGGGCTTTATGGGGTGTGGCGTTATCTTGTTGGAACACCTTCCGTTGTTGACGCTGGATGAAAGGAAGAACCACTGGCCGTAAGATATTGTCAATGTAGCGTTGTGCTGTCAGATTGCCTTCAATGATGACAAGTTCCGTCTTCTCGTCCCCGCAAATGCCGCCCCAGACCATCACACTTCCGCCCCCGTAAGGTTCCACCTCCTGGTTCACCACGTCGTCGATAAACTCGCGTCCGCCCATCAGGTTTGAAGAGTTAGAACCTGCTCTCGTCACTAAACAGCACTCGCCGCTATTCCCTTTGTTGCCATCGCTGAGTTTGCCTGGACCACGTCAATCTGGCCGTCGATGTTGACTGGTCAAGATCATGCCCTTGAAAGGGCGATAAGCCCGGAGACCATAATGTCGTAGTCGTCTTGTCACTGTTAGTCTGCTGACCGGATGTCCTAAGCTGTTGGCAGCTGATGACGTCACAGTAAGAAATCTGTTCCTCAGATGAAGTACCCGTAAAAAGCGGTCATCCTGCGGGGTCGTGACCTTTGGTCTGCCACTCCGTAGTCTGTCTGCGGTTCTGCCAGTCTGTCGGAGACGTGCGACCAGCCTGGTAATGGTCACCTTGGAGCAGTTCATGTTAATGGCAACCGCTCTCTGTGTCGCTCCCATCTGCAGCATACCTATGGCTCTCTCCCTCTGGACAGAGGTCAGTCTTGGCATGTTTGTTGGTGTTAATCATCGCAACCAATGATAGGGAACAGATCCGTGCGTAATTTATACCCGGGAATTACACGATAATTTGGGAAAGAATGTTTTAAAAATTGCTGAAAAACACCACCATCTCCCCAAATCCGCAAAGCACGTGCAAAGAACGACAGAGAACATGAAGGCTGTATTCGTGAGATGTGTTCTTTACTGTTTTTGAACAGGTTGGCATCTTTGTTTCAAAGTGGCACATCAATTAATGTTGGTAACGTATCTTTTGGCCCTAAGTTTATAATGGATAAATATGCAAAATTGGTTACCTGGCAGAAACTACTTATTTGCAATGCTCCTCACATCGATGTGGTGTTTACTTGCTTACTTTGCAAAACTTTCCCTGCATCATTAGTTAGCGATGTCCCGATGTGTGAGTGAGTGAGTGAGTGAGTTGTGTTTAACTCCGTATAACAGTATTCCTTTTATATCACGGCGTGTCAGCTGAATGTGGGAGGAAATGTCTCAGACGTTTACCACTTTGGTGAAACCAACTTGCACGGGTATGGTGTTGACCAACCTGGAAACATAATCGGGGCGATCGTAGCTTTCAAACGTGCATAAGGGACGCAACTCTGCAGAGCGAATTGTGGCGCCTTAGATGACTGGGCCACCCGTGCTCCCTCCTGATGTGTAAGTGCTTACGTAAACAAACATGGCTGTACGTCATTTGTTACTGTATCATACACAGGGCGGTTCCCTGAGGCTTTATATGTCTACGTGGTTCTAAAGTAACACTATGGTAAAGCTATATATGTATTAATCTTAATTATTCTTCAACAAATGCAGTGATATTTGACAGCAATGAGTTTTACCAAAATGATTTAACTTTAAGGGTTTCAAGTTTCAAGAGTATCATGCTGTTCTTTTATCATAAAACAAGCCACATTACAATACAACTAGATTCCAAAAACACTTTCCATAATTTTAAATGAGTTAATATATCATAAATAATGACTTCATTAGATCAACCTCTAATTAATTTATTTCATAACATAAGGATATATTTAATTATTCATAATTGTCATGCACGAATACGTCATCCTTTAACATAACCATTTTTTAAGCCTGATGGATGATTAGCGGTGATATTTAGATGACTCCTGGTTGTTGTGGCGGCCATTGTGAACACACTAGACCTGAGACAGAAACATACATTAACATCACTAACTATAAATTAATATATACATTGAGAAGGAACAGTCTAAATCTTAACATAATTAGTGACAGTGTAATTTATGTTATACCGAATGCCACATAAACCGCATCATTGCAAGCATGACATTTTTGAAACTTTAGTTTGTTTGTTGGTTGGTTGTTTTACGCCGCACTCAGCAATATTCCAGTCGAGACCAGACAATCCAGTGATTGACATCATGAGCATCGATCCACGTAATTGGGACCGATGACATGCATCAATCAAGTCAGCGAGCCTGACCACCCGATCCCGTTTGTCGCCTTTTACGGCAAGCATGGGTTGCTCAAAGACCTATTCTACCCCGGATCTTCACGGGTCACTTGAAACTTTAGTAGTTTTATGATTCATTCAAACGCTAATAAAATCCTCATTCAAGACGGGTAACTCTATTTACATGCCAAACTTTCAAACTAAAGTAGCTTCCCTTGAAATGACCTTCACTTCTCATAACGCTTTTTTTCTCCTTTTTAAATCTGAACTGTTATGCTGAGTCACCACTGCGTCGGAGTGTGCAAGTTAATTTATAACGTCGACGCATGCGTGGTTTTGCCCGTAGTAGCGTCATGACAACAGTTAGCCCTTCCTGTGTGTCAGCCATTTTGAGAGATATCACTGGAAGTGTTCTCAGTTTTATCGTCCAATTTTTATATGACTCGAAAAGTGTGTACGACTTGAAGAGGTGCAGAAAACTATGAATGCTACTACGACAGGTAGGCCTATATGACATTTGCATTTTTACCAGCAATAAAGCATCATGTGATAACTTTTAATGTGTTCACAATACACACCAAAAAAATGGTTAACGCTGGTGTTTCCATACACTAATTTCAATTTTCATATTCTGTACAGACCTTATATTGAAAAATACAACTTTAATTGGTAATTTGTAACCTGAACGTTTTAGTAGCGCAGGGTATAGAAACCAAACATGATACAGGACACGTTCAACTTAGTGAAAATGAAAGTGTAGAAGCCCCAAAGACACGCTTGATTTTCTTTTCAAAAGACTGAGTTTTAATGAATTGTTATTTATTAAAACGACAAGTCTCAATCAAAATCTTAATACTTATTTAAGCACTTCTAGTGTCTTCATTTAGTTAAAATAATGAATTCTCTATTTTAGTGCCTGTTGCCTGCTTGCCCTCCGGGCTGCCAACAGTGGTGATGGGAGATGGAACAAGATGTCTGGTAGACAACAACACTATCTGGATACCAGCTGGTAATCCTGTTAACCTCTCCCTAGGTCCTGGTTACCTACAGCCAAGACTCCTGCAGCCTGGAGTTCAGCCATCTGTGACTGGTATCCCCCTGCCTCCCGCAGTCCAGCCACCACCTTGCAGTAGACGTAGGGAGATGATGCCTGTCAGCCTGCCCAGTTCAGAGATGGACCTACAGCTGATGAGACCAGAGGTAAAGTACGGTTTTGGGCTCCCGGTTTTGATCATTAAATAACTGAACTGAAAAAGCCTGCATGATTATATTTGTTTTTTGCAAAATATGAAAATGATACATTGACTATATCACCCATCAGGCCTTCTCCTGTGCCCTGCCCCCACTTGACCTTCCCATGTCAGTACCACAACTCATGCCCGTAGCCCATGTGGAAACTCCAGGCGTATCTACAGCAAGCAACTCCAAACCCAATTCCAAGACCCCTCTCCTACCAAAGCAAAAACCTGAGCTCCAACCCTACAAACGCAGGCCCCACACTTTCAGACCAAAACCTCAACCAAAGAATCTCATTCCCAAGGAGCAAGTGAGCAAGCATCAGCCTGAGAGCAAACCCTACTTTGTGCCGCAGCCTCTTGGAGCTCAGCACATGAAAATCCAGAGCAGAATCCGGGGAAACCGTATCACTAAGCCTTCGGGTGGTAATGGTATCATAAAGTCCTCATCTAAGCTTAGTTTTGCGGAACAGTTGTTGTCTGCTGATCGTGCTTACTTAAAGCCAAAGTCTGTCTTGCCCAGTACAGGTTGCAAGACCTTGCCTGTCCCTGTTAAGAATGTAAAGGATAAGGTTGTTTCAGCATCAGAGAGTGCTAAGTCAGGCGGTGTCACTGCTTCAACAGCAAGTGTAAGTCCAGCCAAGACAGTGGACAGAGCTGAGCCAAACTCTGATGATGAATATGATGTGGAATATCTGTATCTTACTAAACTGATTTTAAGGAAAAAGAAGACACCCAATGCAGAGCCCAGTAAGGAGTCCCTGCCCTCACGCAAGAGGAAGTGCCCAGATGACAAAAGCGAGGTGCCCCAAGCTGAAAAGCAGGCAAGGCTGGAGGAGCCCCAGGACACTCTGGAGGACCTGGAAGCTCTCCTGGCTGAGTACAGCTCCAGTCTCTTATCTGGCACCAGGGACTTCTTCTAAACACTGTAAGGTGTAGAGGACAGGTAGGTATAGATTAGTGTATAGTGGTTAGGTTAATGTGAGTACATGGTGATCCTTCTCTTACCCTCCTTCCTTCTTTGTTTGCAGTTCAAGACTGTCAAATCATATTTTGACCATCTGCTACTGATTCTGTTTTATATACTCTGTACCGTCCTACTCTATCCACCTCTGTCCTGCTTTACTCTACCATACTCTGTACTGTCCTACTCTACCCTACTCTGTACTGTCCTACTCTACCCTACTCTGTACTGTCCTACTCTACACTACTCTGCACTGTCCTACTCTACCCTACTCTGTACTGTCCTACTCTACCCTACTCTGTACCGTCCTACTCTATCCACCTCTGTCCTGCTTTACTCTACCATAGTCTGTACTGTCCCACTCTACCCTACTCTGTACTGTCCTACTCTACCCTACTCTGTACTGTCCTACTCTACCCTACTCTGTACTGTCCTACTCTACACTACTCTAAACTGTCCTTCTCTACCCTACTCTGTACTGTCCTACTCTACCCTACTCTGTACTGTCCTTTTCTACACTACTCTGCACTGTCCTACTCTGTACTGTCCTACTGTACACTACTCTGTACTGTCCTTCTCTACTCTACTCTGTACTGTCCTACTCTGTACTGTCCTACTCTATGGTACTCTGTCCTGCTTTACTCTACCCTTCCCAGTACTGTCCTACTCTACACTACTTTGCGCTGTCCTACTCTGTACTGTCCTACTCTATCGTACTCTGTCCTTCTTTACTCTCCCCTACTCTGTACTGTCCTTCTCTACCCTACTCTGTACTGTCCTACTCTACCCTACTCTGCACTGTCCTACTCTATCGTACTCTGTCCTGCTTTACTCTAACCTACTCTGCACTGTCCTACTCTACCCGACTCTGTACTGTCCTACTCTACCCTACTCTGTACTGTCCTACTCTACCCTACTCTGTACTGTCCTACTCTACTCTACTCTACTCTGTACTGTCCTACTCTATCGTACTCTGTCCTGCTTTACTTTACCCTTCTCTACCCTTGTGTACCCTACTCTATACTGTCCTACTCCACACTGTCCTACTCTACCCTATCCTGTACAGTCTTACTCTACCCTACTCTATACTGTCCTACTCTGCACTTCTCCGCACTGTTCTACTCTACCCTACTCTATGCTGTCTTACTCTACCCTACTCTGTAATGTCCTACACTATTCCCCGCTATACTGTCCAAATCTATCCTCTGTACTGTCCTACTTTACCGTATGTTCCTTACTTATCTGCACAGCTGTCCACTACTCTATATATTTTCCAAGACTATCAAGCTATTTGATGTCCCCATTAGATACTTTACTGTAACATGTCCTGTCATGATCTACACTTCTCAGTAATGCCCTTATCTACCCTACTATGTACTGTCCTGCTGTACCCTACTATGTATCGTCCAACTCTTCCCTCTATTATTCTACTCTATCCTCCTTCATACTGTTGTACTGTTCCCTCTACTATATCCTCCGCCGTGCTGTCCGAATCTGCGCCCCTATTTATTGCTCTATCTGCACTGTCCACTACACTCTGTTTTTTCCTATCACCCTCTACATTACATACTTAACCCTCCCATTCTAATCTGTATTTATCTATAATGCCCTCCACTACCATGCCACTATATACTGTTCTACTGTCCGAGTCCGTCCTACTCTGTATTATTCTACTCTCTTCTATATTGTACTACGCTTTCCTCCACTGTACTGTCCTACTCGACTTGTATTTGAATTTTCCTTGAAATAAATTTTGTGAGAATGTTTACTTAAATAAAGAAAAATATATGTTGAGGAAATATGTCACTGTGCGCTTTTGTAATCAAACCTGGAGTGGATAGGAACGGCTGTGAAGGGAGGCTGGATGCCGTACATTTTGGATGTAACTGAAGTACATGTATTTGTATTTGTACATATTTTTCATTTCTTTACGTTCTTTCTTAATAAAATATCTCTTGGCAGTCTAAAAGGTACTGTTGTATTTTAACCAAAAAAGTCAATCGCGGAGCTAATTAATGTGGAGGAACAATTGAGCGCAAAAATGTTGCAAAACATCTGCACACTACTTGATGCCTATGGCAGTACTGTCAAATCATTATCTGAGGGTGAATGAGTAAACATTTTACATCACATTGGCACTATATATTATTGCAACAAATGTAGTAATGAGAGACCACATATGGGTTGTTCATCGGGAGGAAACTATGTTATATGAGTGAGGCTGTACCATTTTCTATTCTCCAAGATAAATGTGAAACATAATGCAACACATTGTTAGGAAATGCATGAGTAAGTGACTGAAGAAGTTGGCAACATATATATAGGTATAGTACCTGTGAAGCTTCACATGCATCTCCAGGGTTCACTCTAGTAATTTTCTGACCTGGGCCCTTTATGTGAAAATTTCAAATATTCCAGAGGGAGGCCCATACAAGCACAATGTTAAAATGCCCAATTGTAATAAAATGTGGGCCTTTTTTCAAATTTAGGCGCTAAATGCACAAGGTACCACCCCAGAATTATCCCTGTATCTCTGAGTGAAGCAGTGGAAACGTGTAACACATGTTTGTTAACACACTCATGAGTGAGTGATTGAGGTAATCGGCATTGTTGCAACTTTACCATGGCGGCATTTCAGGTAATCGAGCCTAGACAAGGCAAACCAGTGGTTAGTGGGACAAGATGATTCATAGTAAACCATTTTACGGTTAGTCAATGATGAACACTGGCAATAAGCTGATACAACACGTCACAGCTGGTCCTCCATTTAGAACTATTCATACTCAGTAGCAGCGTTAGTTTTAGCCAACTAGTCATTATAATGATACCTTTAAAACCCTTTGAAAGAACAAATTTATCCTATTCCTTATGGCACCTTAACTATTGGGCAGTTTGGCACTATAAGACCAGTGCAAAATTTTAACGCCGGGTAGCCATTGTCACCAAAAGGTTCCTAATACAAACATGGGTGACTGGTAAATTATTCTGACTGACTCAAAAGGTGGGTCACTCTGAGGAACACTGATCATAAATGAACATATATTGAAGCATATAATACAACTTCATCAGCAGTATACGGATGGGAAACATCTTTCCTTGGTGTGGCTGTACTTACAGCATTTTCAAAGTTATTTTCAGTTTCTGTCGGATATAAAGAGATCGTGTCGTGTCCTGTCGTGTCCATCTTCCCTTCCTCGTCTCTACATCCTCCCTCCCTCGTGTCTACTTCCCCTTCATCCTCCCTCCCATGTCTCTACATCCCCTCCACCAAAACTCGCTACTTCCCTTCAACCCTCCGCCACCCCATCCTCCCTAATCCCCAATCACTTACAATCCATTGTCTCTATGTCCCCTTCATCATTCCTACTTTCCCTTCATTCTCCCTACCTCGCCTCTACTTCCCCTCCATCCTCCCTCCAACATCTCTACTTACCCTCCATCTTCCCTCCCTCATGTCTATTTCCCCTCCATCCTCCCTCCAACATCTCTACTTCTCCTTCATCCTCCCTCCCACTCAATCACACGTCTATACTTACCCTCCATCCCCCTTCCCACATCTCTACTTGCCCTCCATCCCCCCTCCCATGTCTCTACTTCCCTACCATCCTATCGTCTCTTCTCTACTTCCCCTAAATCCTTCCTCCCAAGTCTCTACTCCCCCTCCATCCACCTCCCACGTCTCTACTCAACCTCCATCCTCCCTCCCATGTCTCTACTTCCCTACCATCCTATCGTCTCTTCTCTACTTCCCCTAAATCCTTCCTCCCAAGTCTCTACTCCCCCTCCATCCACCTCCCACGTCTCTACTTAACCTCCATCCTCCCTCCCATGTCTCTATTTCCCCTCCATCCCCCTCCCTCGTCTCTACTTACCCTCCATCTTCCCTCCCCCGTCTCTACTTCACCTCCATCCCCCTCCTACGTCTCTTCTCACCCTCCATCTTCCCTCCCTCATCTCTACTTCCCCTCCATCTCCCCTCCCCGACCCGTGAAGACCCGGGGTAGAATAGGTATTCAGCAACCCATGCTTGCCATAAAAGGTGA